TTTGAGAACCGTTTTTTTAACTTCTCATTTCTTTATAGTTTTTGAAATATTTGCAGAAACCTAAACACCTTTTTCAACATCATAATTTTTCAAAATCTTTCGCAATTTTTTTATGTGCTGAAAAACGTCATCAGCATATTTTTCTAGATTTCATTCCGGATCGAATGAGCCATCGCACGTATTTTTCCGACCATTTTCAACTTGTTGCAACGAATATAAAGTCACCCCTGACCGATATGTCGGCCAGCGAACAAACACATGACATCACCGCAGAAGGAACGCAGTCGGCAACCGCCGGTTAAACTATAGTTGAGTACCGAAACGACTACAGAATTCTAGAACGATCATTACCGATATATAAGGCCGGCTTCTCGTCCCAAGAGGGCAGTTAGTTCAGAAAGCGAATCAAGCGGTTACACAATGATTCAGATGGTGGAGATAAATTAAGCGTTAGTTGCTGAGTGTTGAATATAAATCAGTTTGTGATTAGTGAAATATTGTTAGAAATAAATTTGTTTAAGACAGTTAATTCTTTAATTTGTTACATTCTGAATTAGACTAAAGAGCAAACTGACACAAGGTCAGCTCTAAAGAAGGAGGTAAATGAGATCTGAATTCAAATTCATGCTATTTGGCTAAATTATCCCAGAAAATTGTATCCGACGAAAGTATCGGAAATTTCTTGGGACGGCTCAGATGCCTTCGTGAAATGTAAGTAAAATGTTATTTGAAGTCTTTCTTTTGGAGAAACACTCATTATTCTCTGTAGTTTGGCAAAATGCGGAGTATCTAAACTCAACTCCACTTGAGTTTTCAATTAAGAGTTTGATAGAGATAGGTTTTTGTCAACATAACGATAATGAGGTCATATCAATTGAATATTTTCCTAACGATATTGCCGTGTCGTTACATAAAAATACACCGAACTGATATTTTCGTACATTTGTTCAGGTGCCATGTATTGTAATCTAATCTATTCATTAATAATAAATGATTTTCCTAGAAGATGAGTTATACCCTTTTATACTTTGTACTTTGTATGTCGTGCAAACATTTCTCAGATCGCAGAAGAATAGAGAATAAATCTAGCTAGGCTGTTGATTTCAAAGCTTGACTTTCCAAAGGACTGCCTTCGGGAGCCTCGTTTATCAGTTTTTTTACGACAAACCACAACCACTACAGGAAAATCCTCAAAGCGCTCTTAGAGCGGTGCCTATGCGAAAGTAGCGATTTACATTGGATTTGAATCGCTGGAGATTAAATCCCTTTGGGAAAACGTTCTCAGGAAGTTTACTCCACATGAACGCAGTGCTCCAGATGAAAGAGTTCTTGAACAGTGAAGTTCGAGGTGTACTGAGATGAACCTCCGAACGATGAGCAGCCACAGTCCGTCGCGTATTTCTGATATGTACCGCTCTTGGTGGTATCAAATTCAGTATCAGTATCAGT